GCTTTTGATCACCGCAGCTTTGGATCTGTCTCAAGTTAACAACGCTTGGAGCCTTTTGGTCCATTAAGCATTGATCCTAGACCCTAAACCCCTAAACCCTAAACCCTGGACCCTAAAAAGCATCCCTTGGCGACCAGGGCATCACTGGAAACCTCCTTCTGACCTGGTCCTGCCAAGCAGCGGCCAGGGGTACGGAGGCAGTATCCTGAGGTTTTAAAGGGTTTGGGGTTTAGGGTTTAGGGTTTAGGGGTTTCGGGGTTTAGGGGTTTAGGGGTTTAGGGTTTAGGGGTTTAGGGTTTAGGGTTTAGGGTTTAGGGTTTAGGTCTGGGCTCATGTTTGGTTCGGGTCTTTAGGATTTAGGGGTCGAGGGTTTTAGGCTTCAAGGGTTTGGGGGTCGTAATCGTCATAATCAGGCTTAGTTATAGCTCGGATAGCAAGGAAGCCAAGGGTTTTCCTCAATCTGCGCAAAGTTGACCTCCAATGAATGAAGTACTGTAGTGTTTTGTATCTTCGGGTTTAGGGTGTTGGGGTGATGGGTGTAGGTGTATTCTTTCTGGACATACTGGCATTCGCTTAATTAATACAGTTGACGTTATAAATCCTGCATTACCCATAGTAAGGAATATAGCAAAATTCCCATAGTTTTGTGTCCTTAAGGTAATGCAAGATTTATATCATCAACACTATGTCCTGAACCCTTTCGGGACTCAGCATGTTTTTCAGGTCCTGCGGACACCGCAGCCATCGTCGCCCAGTCGAGTGCGTCGCAAGACCAGGCCCGACGTAGCCTGGTGTAGGGCTTCATATGGGTTTACCTTAAACTACCATAGCCTACTTTCTTTGTAGGTTCTTAGTATGAAACCTAATATAGAATTTATAGGGGCCCTACAAAAAGTAGGTTTTGGTAGCTCAAGGTACTGCTTAGGAGTTTAGGCTTTAGGTGTTCAGGGTTTAGGGTGTAGGACATTGTAAGGATTCCCCGGGGGGGGCCAAGGGTTGTTTACGGGGAATTTGATTTATTTTGTCGTTTTCTTAGTTTCGATATGTTTGTCTTTGTAAGGGCTGTGCAAGCCTCAAGTGCCAAGGGGCAAAATCCCTGACCCTAGATACCCTAAGCTTGTCCGGTTAATCCAGACGGGCACAGTCCGCATGGGCTTGGGCTTAGGGTTTAGGGTAAGCTAAACTCTAAACCCTAAGGTTCACAGCGGAATCCATGGCATGGTTAAGCAAAAACCCGAAAGTTCTTTACAATGCAAGGTACCCGAGAAGGCACTTACTCTAAACCTCCCGTTATAAGTTAGGGTAGCTATACCTATAACCCTTATTAGGAGACTTATAGCCCACTTATATCTATCCATGAACCTCCAAGTATGCCGGGTTTTAGGGTTTAGGGTTCGAGGCCTAGGTTAAGGGTTTCCTTAAAGCGCTAAACCGTAAACCCTAAACCCTAAACCCTGAACCCTGAACCCTAAACCCTGAACCCTAAAGTTAATCCTTCAAAGGACATGGGAGCAACGGAAGCTGCTCCGGACAGCTTCATCGTCAGTGCCTCAGAGTTTAGTGCGTTTCGGGGTCTCCTGCGCCAGCCCACCCCCCTGGGCTTCCTTAGGGTTTAGGGTTTAGGGTTGCGTCCAATTACAGTAAAGGATATTCCTTAAATTATCGCAGGGACCCTGAATCAGTTTAGTGAGGGACGTAAGCACATATACATTTTGTACATATGTATATATATATATACATACATATATATATATATAGATGTCTATTGGAGTCTCTCTCTCGCTTAAGAAACATTCCATGACCCCTAAACCCTAATCCCCAAACCTTACCCCCAAACACTACACCCTACACCCTAGACCCTAAACCCTAAACCCTAAACCCTAAACCCCACACCCTAAACCCTAAACCGAAAACCGAACCTCCAAGCGCTCAAGGCCCTGCTCGGAGGTTCCATGGCAGTTCTGTGTCTAACTTACAACGAAATTTGAGTTCATGCCTGGGTTTAGGGTTTAGGGTTTAGGGTTTAGGGTTTCGGGTTTTGGGGTTTAGGGTTTTGGGCTGTAGGTTTTTTGTTTTTTAAGTTTCTGTATGGTTAGGGGCTGCAGGGTTTTATGGTTTAGAGGTTTTAGGGTTTCTCGTTATAAGTTAGTTACAGGAGTGCCTTATGCAGAGCCATGCTTACTCAGTTCTCCGATCCGTAAGAAAAGCAAAAATTCAGCTGCCACCTGCAAGATAATAGGGTTTAGGGTTTAGGGTTTAGGGTTATCGGCCATGAGATGACCACGTGTATGCTGATAATGACAGGCAACACTCAATCCCCACAGCAGCCGTTGCAGTACCTCTCGAAGTGGCCCTTCACAGGGAGCCTTCAGAACGACTCCTGAATCTAAAACGCCTGAGCTCTAAACCCAAAAGCCGCTCAACCCCTAAACCCCTAAACCCCTAAACCCCAGAACCCCTAAACGAACCCCTAAACCCCCTAAACCCCCAAATCCCCGAAACCCCGAAACCCCTAAACCCCTGAACCCCTAAACCCTTAAACCCCTAAACCCCAAATCTCTACACCCCTAAATCCCGAACCCCTAAACCCCTAAACCCCTAAACTCTAACTGTTAAGGCCCCCATCTTACACGTCAGTTTATTCCAATCTTGCGGAGCTGGAGGTCCAAGGCGAGGTCATCGGCGAAGCGATGCTGGCGCGGGGTTTCGGGGTTTGGGCTGAAGGGTTTTAGGGGTTTGAGGCTCAAGGTTTAGGGCTTTAGAGGTTTAGGGCTTTAGAGGTTTGTGGCTTTAGGGCTTCAGGGGTTTAGGGGTTTAGGGTTTTAAGGGTAGTAGGATATCTAGGACATTTTCAGGTGGGTAGTTACCTTGCAGAAGCCCTATATACCCTAAACTCCCCACCTGTAGTTTCCTTTAAGATACAGCTTGTGCCTGTAACCCCTTTAGGGTTCAGGCTCCAGGTTGCCTAATATGGGTTTAGGGTTTAGGGTTTAGGGTTTAGGGTTTAGGGTTTAGGGTTTAGGGATGGCTCGGAATACGTAATTCGGAGTACTATTCCGCAGGGTTTAGAGGCATCTGTAATTTAGTATGATACAGTGTACCGAGACCTGATTCCAATCAATAAGGACCGCATACTGCATGCCTAGGCTCCGTCTTATAAAACCCCCGGTAATATCCTCAAAGATGTAGTCGGTAGAGTTACAGGTATAATATATATATATATATATATTATATTTAAATAAGAGTTTTTGGAATTATGGTTCGGGGCGCAGGGTTCAGTGTTTAGGGTTCGGGGCGAAGGGGCTGCGGAGGTCGGAAGGGAAGAAGGCCCAGGACAAGTAGTAGTATAACGGCATGGTTTGGGGGTTTAGGGTTTAGGGTTTAGGGTCGAGGCCATCAGAGCCATAGAGCACCCTAGCCATCTTCGTTGCAGGTGAAGACCCTTGAATCCGTCCTGACGACCCTCCCACACCCTAAACCCCGACAACTAAGCACCCTGATTCCTAATCTCTGAGTCCTAAAATGCTCTAAGCCCCAAGTCCTGATCCCTTAAGCGCTACTGTAGATGCTAAGACTCCTAAAATCTTAAGTTATGAACCCCCTCAGCCCCTAACCCCTTAAACAAAAAAAACCAACTTCCAAGGCCCAAACCCTAAACCCCAAACCCCAAACCCTAAACCCTAAACCCTAAACCCTAAACCCTAAACCCTAAACCCTAAACCCCAAACCCTAAACCCCAAACCCTAAACCCTCAAGCCCTAAATCTGAAACCCCCAAACCCTAAAAACCCTAAAAATCCTAAACCCTAAAACCTAAAACCCTGAACCCCAAACCCTAAAGCCCCAAGCCCTGGAGCCCTAAAGACCTAAAAACCCTAAAAGCCCTAAAATTCCGGATTTGCCCAAAGGGTCTCCGGGGCTACAAGCGTCTGCGACTCAGAGGAGCGTCGCCTCGGAAACGAGAGCTCCTTTTTGAGTTTTATGGAGGTCCTGTTTAAGGGATCCTTTAGAATAGGGTTTGGGGGTATATGATACTCTAATCATAAGGGCCGGGGCTTAGTACTATAAGGGTTCTATATGGGGTTTGGGGTTTGGGGTTTAGGGTTTAGGGTCTTTTTTAAGGGATCCTTTAGAATAGGGTTTTGGGATAATACTATAATCATAGTAAGGAACCCCAAAGATAATGTAGGTAACTATTACTTGGAGGCCCAGGGACTTAGTAAGTCGGTTAGAAGTAGGGTTATAGTTGGGTGTAACTCCAGTTAGGGTACTTATAACTCTACTAATAACTTATAACCTGCTGTACTAAGTTCCCTGGTCCTCCAAGTAGAGGTCCTGTTTAAGGGATCCTTTTAAGGGTGTCTATAAGGGTTACGGGTTTCGGGTTCAGGGTTTGGGCTTCGAGTTTGGGTTTGGGGGTTTAGGGTTATCGAATTTCGGTTAATGGTTTAGGCTTCAGGGCCTGTAGGGTGCCGAGCTTAGATTTTTGAGATTTCGTTTCTGGTGGTCATAGCATGTCATAGCGCGGTATGGTGTGCTGTGCGGTTTTATCGGCGCTTGGTGAGTTTTGTTCTGAAGACCGGTGTGCAACTCTAGGCTTTTTGGTTCTAGCATCACTAAACCATAGAATCCCATACCTCTGTGACCTCATAGAAGTCTTACCGGAACTCCGTAAGGAACCCTACAACCACCCGAAAACCACTAAGCCCTAAACACTGCACGGAACCCTGCAAACGAGAACAAGAAACGCTCAGAACCCTAAACCCCAAACCCTTAAAACCAAAAACCAAAAACCAAAAACCCTAAACCCTAAACCCTTTCAGCGCTCAAGGGCGCGGCCTGCCGCCCTCGTCGCCCGGCCCGGCGAACAGGAAGCCCCGCACACTGGAGGTCGCCAGATCGGGTTTTGTGAGAGGGGCCGTCGGTTATTTAGGGTTTAGGGTTTAGGGTTTTGGGTTTGGGGTTTAGGGTTTAGGGTTTAGGGTTTAGGGGCTCAAAGGCTCCATGTACCCAGATAGTATATACTTAGGCCTTAAAGGGGTTCCTATATAGGTACTTTAGGGTCTAAGTATATACTATGTGGGTACATGGAGCCTTGGGGTTTGTGAGAGGTGCAGTGGATTTTGTGGGTTTTAAGGCTTCGTAGCGTCTTAGATTCTCGAGATCGCTTCGGCAATTACCCGCCACTACGTCGTCGCAGTCACTTAGTCTAGCTACGAACGCAGTCACTTCTCGCGGCCTAAGTGGGCCTAAAACCCTAAACTTTAAACCCAAAGCCTAAACCCAAAACCCTAAACCCTGAACCCAAAACCCTAAACCTAAAACCTAAACCCTAAACTTTACCCTTAACCCGTCCTCTTCAAAGGCCGTGCCCTTCGTGTTCGGGCGCTGAGTGATTTTCCGATGATCCGGCTGAGGGTGCAAAGACCTGGGATTAGGGTTTAGGGTTCAGGGTTCAGCAGCTCCGGATCGATTAGTTTCTAGTCGAGCTTAACTTCGGAAAACATCCCACCCACCCATGATTTGCATATCATTAGGAAACCACCCTAAACCCTAAACCCTAAACCCTAAACCCTAAACCCTAAACCCTAAACCCTAAACCCTAAACCCTAATCATTATTCTCTAACTAGCCCCTTAAGGCTGAAATCCTAAGCCCTAAGCCCCGAACCCCAAATCCTTGGTCCTACTTTAAACTCTCTTTAGGGTTTAGGGTTTAGGGTTTAGGGTTTAGGGTTTAGGGTTTAGGGTTTAGGGTTTAGGGTTTAGGGTTTAGGTTTAGCCAAACCAAAGCCCTGTATTTTATTGACGACAACTTGGAGGCCCAGGGGACTTAGTACTATACGGGTTCTATTTGGGGTTTAGGGTTTAGGGTTTTGGGTTTACTTGGGGGCCCAGGGGACTTAGTAAGTCGGTTATAAGTAGGGCTAGAATTGAATTGGGGTAACCCTAGGTAGGGGACTTAGAACTCTACTTATAAACCTACTTACTAAGTCCCCTGAACCGTAAACACTAAACCCTAAACCCTATATTCAACGAAGGGTCGGTCTTGGTTGAATATGTTTATTTTTTTGTTGACGGCCTCCTTTGTTGAATATGTTTGTTTTTGCTTCCGAGGGCGGGAAAAACCAATGTTCAAGAAGGGCTGGCCTTCGTTGAGTATGGTTTTTTCTTGTCAGGCCTTCGTTGAATATGGGTTTTTCTTCGGTCGGCCTTCGTTGAATATGGGTTTTTGTTCGTTGAATTTGGTGAACAAAAGACACCAAAAACCCAGATTCAACGAATGAACTATGGTTTAAATACATATGATAAAGAGGTTTAGGGTTTAGGGAACTCCTACTGTTGATCATATAAATCCTGCATTACCTTGAGGACCCTACACTATGGGAGTTATGGTATGTTCCTTGTTATGGGTAATGCAGGATTTATATCATCAACTGTAATCTGGGCCTTCGCTTTTTTGGAAGCTGCTGCTGCTCCTGCTGCTGCCCCTTGTGCCGCTCCCGTTTCTGCTCCTCCTAGCGGTGGTGGTGGTGGTGGTAGTTGTAGTCGTGCTAGTCCTGCCTGCATCTCCTCCCACTCCCCGCTGCTACTGCGGCTCACGCCGCAGCTGCCACTGCCACCACAGCCACCGCTTTTGCATCTGCGACTTTGCATAATAGGCCCCTAAACCCTAAACCCTAAACCTTATACCCCTACTTTGCTAACAAGCACTGAACGACCCAACTCCTCAAATTCTAAAACCCTAAATGGTCCTAAACATCAAGCCCTAAACCGTAAACCCCAACCCCTAAGCCCCGAACCCAAAACCCTAAATAACCCTAAACCCGACTAAACCCTAAACCCTAACCTTTAAACCCTATTTCGATCTTGCATCCCCAGCCGTCCGGGCTGCGAAGCCGAAACCTTTGATGCTTCTTGCAGCCCTGGCACGTCATGCCAAAATCGATCAAGGTTTAGGGTTCAATATAGAGGTGGGAATGACTACTTAGGAACAATATCCCTGTATAGTCTTATGTCTGTGCTACCGCTAGCCTCGAGTCGTATTAAGTAACTTACATAACTTAAGTGGGCCCTCTGCGAACCGAAAACCCCGTCACGCCCAACAAATCTGAAAATCCATACACAGCCCCACAACGCCCTAAAGTTGGGCCCATGGTTGGATTGAGACACTTTTGTCCTCTTGACATCGCACTTGGCAAAAGGCTGCTGACACTCGGGTAGAACATCAGAGACTGGCTGTCAGGGGCCCCAATGTCACCCAGTTACGCTAAGCCTCTCTTGGGACTTTGCTTTTGAGTCCGAGTCTCGCAGCCTTGTGAAGCCAGCCTGTCTGTGATTTTCCCGCGGTGGCACGATGACCTGCATGGCTTTCCAGAATCCCGTGGCATTTCCCCCGGCCGGGAGGTCTTCGCTCCAAAATGGGTTTGGGGTTTCAAGGGGTAATTCAGTCCAAAATTCAGAGAATTCCAGGGGCTTAGGGTTTAGAGGGGCCCTCATTCCGAGAACCCCAGGGGTTTAGGGTTTAAAGGGGTCATAAAACCAAAGGAGTCCTATCTATTTTGCAATTTGAACCATAATAAATTCCACCCTACGGAATTCTATGCGAAATAATCTCATGAGGGTTTAGGGTTTGGGGTTTAGGGTTTGGGGCTTGGTGTTTAGGGTTTAGGGTTTAGGGTTTAAGGTTTAGGGAAGCCCCCCACGGTAAGGTCGACCTAGGAGCCTTAAAGAAGGTCTATATACCTTATGGAAGTCTTATAGAAGCCCTATCGGGAGGTCTACGGTTTTAGGGTGTAGGTTTTAGGGAGTTTGGGGTTTAGGGCTTTTAGGTAAACCCCTAGTGCCGGGGCGAATAGTTGGAATACGGCTTTAGGGGTTTGGGAGCATGTTGTAGTATGTGGATATAGGGGCTGGCGGCTCGCAGGCAGTCTTGCTACGAACTATTCCGACGTCTTGCAATATAGGGGCCTGAGGAATACCTATACTATTTGGGAGGTTCCTTATGATAACTGTAGTTTTTTTTCTTATCCCAAAACCCTATTCTAATTATTAAGGGCCCTACATTATAAATCTTATGTTGGTCCTTGCTAAACCCTTAGCCCCCGAAGGCTTCCCCCCCCCTATGCTCAACCCACAAACAACACCTTTTTGTGATTCTTATGGAATCCTTGAGGGAGGGGGTTCTAAGGGGGGTATATAACCCAGTAATCCCTAATTCTCCCTAGTACTCCCTTAGGTTCCCTAAAGCTCCCTAGGACCCTCCCCCCTTGAGCCACCCTCCCTTAAGGATCCTATAAATCCAAGTGTCCTTCTTTACCTGGCCGTGACCTGAAGGTAACCAGCGAGAATGGCTGCGCCGCACCTGGGGGGCATCCGAGGGACGTATGTGGGGTGTGGGGGGTGCGGAGTTTAGCCATATGCCCTTCGACTTTTTCTATAACTAGGTCCATAAAAGTTCAAACTTTCTATGTCAGTACACTGACACACACATATAAAGCCAAAGAGCTGTAAGCACTTCCATTGGCTATTTTAGCTTCTGAGCATCTTCAAAACAAGCTTAAGCTGCGAAAGGACAATGGAGCTTCCTCAGCACATGAAAAGTTCTCCAAATTAGGGTTGCTCTTCGGATCCCTGTTTAAAAGGATGGCGCCCTACTTTGGGGACCCAGACGTGGCCCCCACCTTTCAGAACTTCCCACATGCAACTGGCAAACGTCTGATGCGCACCCCAACATTCGTCCTAATTAAGCATCAGAGAGAATCGATCTTGGCACCCTACGGCTGTGGGATCTGCAAATTCGCGTCCGATCCTTATGTTTTGAGGCAGTTAATATAAGTAATAATTGATATGTCGCTGAAATCCTCTTCTTCCCAAACAGGCCCCAAAACTCCTAAACGGAGAGTCTGAACCCTATCCTCAAATCCCAAACGCCTCAGATTCACTCCCCGAAGGGTTTAGGGTTTAGGGAAGCCCTTATGCACAAAAGTTCGGGGCCACAGGCACCACAAGACGTCACCCCATCCTGCCTAAAACCTACACATCCCGAGACACATCCAGTTCCTGCAGACCCAGCATCACTTGAAGTCTCATGAATCCTCGAACAAGCTGCTAAACTCCTTGAAGGCTTCCAGGAGTTGCTTTGATGTGCATTCCGGAGCCCAGACTTCCTCAGCGGCGGCGGAAAAGTGGGGCCTTCCAGGGCTCCTATAAGATTTCCTTAAGGGCCCTTTCAAAAGAGTGTAGGGTTTAGGGTTTAGTTAGGGGGTAGGGGGGTGGGTTCTAGAAAGGTATTATGGTCCCAGACCTTCCAACATCCCTGAAATAAGGAGTATACCGTAAATTAGAAAGGACCCTTGATAAGATTTAAGGTCTATTCCTTACCTAAGGGATGTTGGAAGCTCTGGGATGTTATCCACCTTAAAAGGGCTTCATCGGGTGTTGCAGAAGCGCTATAAAGGTTTGCAAGCCTTGACCGGGTTTCAGAACTGTGGTATGAGGATTTGGGGGGTTGTATAACTTGTTTGAGCCCATAAGGGTCCATGTGCCCAAGTAATATAGACTTTGGCCATCTGATGGCCGTCAAGTAGTCCCTAGATAGAGAAGTACTTTAGGGCAAAAGTATCTACCATTTGGGCACATGGAAGCTTAAACCCTAAAGCCCTTGTAGAGCCCTTATCGTAACCCTCACTAACCCTTATAGTAATCCATTACGGTTGATGATATAGATCCTGCACGATAGTAAGGAATATACCATATTTTTTTATAGTTTAGGGTCCTTAAGGCAATGCAGGATTTATATCATCAACCGTGTGAAAGAGACCCTTGATAGATGCCCTAAAGGGCACATGGTCCCGGTGCTTTTGGAGGTGGAGGGCTCCAAGGCTCCAAAGTGTTGGGTTTGGGGTTCAGGGGTTTCGGGTTTCAGGGTTTAGGGCTTAGGGTTTAGGGTTTAGGGTTTAGGGTTTAGGGTTCAGGGGTTTCGGGTTTCAGGGTTTAGGGCTTAGGGTCTAGGGTTTTGGGTTTGTTTTTTCGTTCTAGCCCTGAGGCTCCATGTGCCTTTGTAGCATCTACTTCGGACATGAAGTAACTATATAGGAACCCTTTTGAGTCTTAAGTATATACTGTATAGGTACATGCCGACTCAAGGTTGAGGCTTTAGGATAAAAGCTAACACCCCACACCCCTAAACCTTAAACCCAAAACCCTGAAAACCCCAAACCTGGAGAAGCCCTAGCCCTAGTTACATCCTCATCCCAAAAGCGCAAGTGAACCCAAGGATCCCAGGTAGTTGCCTACAAGCTTATGGCTTCTACCTGCGAATTAAGGGGTAATGGCTGCTACTGTAGGTGTCAAAAGAGTTCCAGGTAAGCCACCCTAAACCCTCAACCCCTAAACCCTAAACCCCTACAGCCCTAAACCCTAAACCCCTAAACCCCTAAATCCCCAAACCCCCAAACCCTAAACCCTCAACCCCTAAACCCCTAAACCACTTCTATAGTTATAAGGGTTTTGGGGTTTCAGGGTTTGTGTTTCCTTTCCGAAGGAAACGGTTTCAAGCTTCCTCGCCTAGGCACTACACCCGAAACCCAACTGGCCAATGCAAACAAAAACACACAAAAGCCTAAACCCTCAACATGTAAACACACGTCCCAAACCCGAAGCTCCTTACCACAAAGCCGAAATCCTATAACCCCGAACAATGAAAACCGCTTTGGGCTCAGTCATGCACCCTGTAATAGCTTCGACAGCTTAGATCGACCGAGCGACTAAGGTGTCGGTGACGTTCTCGGGTGTGTACATAGGCCCATCATCTGAGCAAAGACTCTTCTGTATGGTTTAGGTTCCTTATCAAAGAATAGATTTCAAACCGCAACAAGAACTCACACAATTTCAGCTACAGTCCTTACTCGAGGAATCGAGTTGACACCATAGTCAGAGGCGCTCTATTTTCAGCGACCGTCACTAATCAAGTTGTATTGGACTCTGTTGATGACCAGGCTTCCTGCACAGCACGAGATTGCTGCTGGTGATGAGCATTATGAAATGACATAGCTGTTGCAGCACAAGCATCTTTCGCCCCTAAACCCTCAACCTTTCCTGACTCATTCGGATGGCAGTGCACACTGCCCAGCTAACACGGCACATTATCGGCACAAAGGCATGCAGTCAGCATATGGGTAGTTCTCGAAAACGGGGTTCTTTTTTTTGGTCCCCGCAACAGTACGGCACCCTTCTAACAGGGACACTCATTTAGAGAAGTACCCTTATGAAAGGCTGACTGGCGAGGTGTTCGGGCCACAGAAATATCGTCTAAGCAACCCTAAACCCTAAACCCTAAACCCTAAACCCCATTTACAGGCTGATGGATCAGCAGATACTGCGGCAGGACGAAAGATTGTACTCTCGGGTATTGGTTTTAACACCTTGCAAAACCTTTCCTTCTTAGACTCCTCCAGCAAAGTCCTCCGTCCGGAACATTAACATAGTTGTATAATTTCCATTCTCGTGGAGATTAATTCCTCCGCTAGCCAGGCCACGTAAAATGAACTTTTCGGTACTCCCTGCCCTCCGCATGATCCCATAAGTGCGACCAAACTTTAAATCCTGACGGTGTAGAATGCAAGACCGACCGCGATATTTAAACGATGACTAAGCGCAGCCCTAAAACTTTCGAAGCCTGAACATTCTCGAGCCACCAGCTCCAACATCAACATGCTGACCATGCAGGGCTCGGATCCAAACTACCCCACGTCATCCAACTGCAGCCAGTCGGCAAACCTCAACTGAGAGCTGAAACCTTCTATTCCCAAGCTCCCATTGGCCAATGTCCTACCTTAACCCCAAATAACCTACCTTTTTATGGACTCATATAAAGAAATCATACTAAGGAACCCCCAAAAAAGTAGGTTCTTTGGGGAGCAGGTAGGCCCTGAACCTGATGCATCTACAGCCCCTGTCTCTATGGAGCGACAAGAACCCGAATATAGCGGCCCCGCAAATTGGAATAGGATTTTGGGAACATTATACCGGTACTTGGAAGATCATGGGACTTAATAACTAGGGTTATGAGTAAGGTAACCTTACTTGTAAGTACTTATAACCCCACTTATCAGGTACTTATAACTTTACTTACCAAGTCCCATGATCCTCCAAGTCGGGCTAGTTGAGTGGGCTCCAGGGTTCACGGGCTTAGGTCTCGGCAAGGCAGTGATAGAAATGCAGGAGGGGTTGAGGGCTGAGAAATGTCGGGGTGCTTGTCGCAAACAGACAAATCTAAAGTACAGAGGCCTCTATGCCTAAGCCCTAAACCCTCAACCTCTAACCCCAGGTGCAGAACCAGATCCTGCCTGCATTGCAGAAAGACTTGTTGTCACACTTGCCCATCTGTGGCGCAATCTGCCCGTCCTGTGGCAGCTATGGCTCTGCAGAGGTTTGGCAGTGTGAGATCCCAACACAAACCCTAAACCCTGAACCCTGAACCCGAAACCCCTAGAACCCTTAAGCCCTAAACCCTAAACCCTAAAACCCCTAAACCCCTACACCCTAAAGCTAGACCCATCCCTACCCTTTCCAAGTTGACCTTCCTCAGAAACTGGGATTCTTGGATTAGCTCAAAATTTTCTCGGCAAATTCCAAACCTGACGTTGCTGCTCACCATTGTAGCTGCTCCGCCCCTAGGCTTGCAGTCAAGTTAGCTGGCAACGAGCAGTAGAACCCTGCTTTTCAGAGATACTGGAATTTTTAGGTCTCTGGGCACTGCATCAGTGAGCATTGGTCTCTCTAGTAACTTGAACCCCAAACACTGAAAACCCGAAACGGAACGCTCGCTGAAATTTTGAAGCCCCAAACCTACACCTCAGGCCCTAAACTCTAAACACGGACCCCATACCTGAAATCTTGCCCCTAAGGGTTCGAATGCCCAAATAGCAAAGTTTTGGGTGCCCAAAACCCCCTTCGGAGAATGGAACTGGAGATCTAAAGCCTTACTAATTGGGTTCTTGGACCCTCTGGGTGCTTGCCTTGCAGACAAAGCCAAGAGAGTGAAGCAAGCCATCGAGGCCAGTAAAAGGGCCATAGCACCTCATCGTCACCGAGACATCCAGACACCCAGGAGCTAGGATATTCGATTCGGGTATTTTTGGGGCTTAGGACAAGGGAACCCTGAACCCTAAACCCTAAACCCCTAAACCCTAAACCCTAAACCCTGTTCTAGAATGTTGGATGTTTGGGGTTTCAGGTTTAGGGTTATGAGGCTCAAGGGCTCGGGGTTCTGGAGCTGTTCAAAGCTGCCACGGTGTACAGCCTCTTCTGCTGAGGTTTTTTTGGGTGTTCAAGATGTTGTGTGCTGTCTCCTCATACCACGAGACTTTGCACAAAGACTAGCTTTCCGAAACGACATCAGTAAAAGAGCTTCTTGCCGAAGTACCACCCCCCCTCCCGCACCCATCCCGTCCCGCCTTCCCACAACACGCAGCTACCAGAACCTGAACATTCCACACTTAACCTATTGTAAACCTTTACTTATAACCCAATAGATCCTAAACCAGACCCTAAGACTTATTCCCCCTAAACCCCTATATTTATAACCCAATAGACCCCAAACCATACCCTAAGACTTATTCCCCCCTAAACCCCCAAAACCGCGCACGTCGAGGAGCAGCTTCGTAAAGGAATAGCCTGCCAGAAGCCTCGGATGAGGGAAGAGGTATCCGGAAAAATATATTAGGGTTTAGGGTTTAGGGTTTAGGGATACCCTAGGCTTCATGTACTTTTAATGGTATATACTTAGGCCTTAAACGGTTCCTACATAGGTACTTTGAAGCCTAACCCTTAGCATCAAACTAGCCCAAGAGCCTTATCAAAAGCCTTATATAATAGGGTCTTTGGGCCCAAAAGCCTTAAAATATGAGTCCTTTGAGGGTAAGGATAAGCACATACCTGAGATCTACGGCGTGGGGATTGCATGTCCTGGGTCTTTCAGCTTCGGGGTTGCAAGGCTGGGGGCTGGCGTTGAACCATAAAGGGTTTTGGGGTTTAGGGTTTATGTGTTTTTGTTGTTTTTTGTTTTGGGGTTTCTTCATTTGACCTTGAACCATAAAGGTTTATGTGCTGTTGTTTTTATATGGTTTGGGGTTTTCTTCATTGTTTAAAACTCTTCTTCTGCGAGAAGCCCACAGGTCCCGAGAGACACGGGTTGCCAGGAGAGCCAGGGCACAGGGAAAACATGTGCCCACAACCCTAAAACCTAATACCTAAACCCTAATTATATAAGCCGTAAACCCCAAACACTGAACTTTAGTTTTTGGGGTTTACGGCTTGTATGATTAGGGCTTAGGGATTAGGGTTTAGGGCTTTGGGCACATATTTTTCACTAAACCCTTAAACACTAAACCCTAAACCCTAAACCCTAAACCGTTCTACAAACCCTGAACCGTTCTTTTCTCGAAGCGACGGGCCTGACTTCGGGGATCCAATCAGGCAACCTCAAGGTCCATGGTTTAGGGTTTAGGGTTTAGGGAGGTCCATGTGCCCACACCTGGACCCTCAAGAGCCTACCTTTTCAGGGTGCCTTTAGGGTTTAAAGGAGTCATATTTCTTTATGCCAAAGTTTCCGGTGCGTTTGGGCTTCTGTCTTGGGGCTCCTGGGGTTTAGGGTTCACCCACTTCTTTGGAGGTTCCTCAATATGATGTGTACTTTTAGTTTTTGGGGTGAACGTGAGGGTGTTAGGGAAGCAAAGATCACCCGGATTCGCTCGAATGGCTTCGTTGTGGTCGCATCGGAATCCCGGCATCCTGGCCATACCCGAACCAAACACACACATATTACTGCAAGCAATGATCCGGGCAATCAAGCATGAATGATGTGCATGTTCCCCTAAACCCTAATTTCTAAACCCTAAACCTGAATCACGGACCCTCCCCGTTACACCATGCTGCAGCCGTGGCACCCCATGAAAACGGAAAGGATCACCCAAAGAGCGGCGATGCAGACACATGTCTTGACGAACCTGCTGCACCGAAGCTCAAACTGTCGCGCGTGTTTCAACTACCCTAAACCCTAAACCCTGAACCCTTGCTACAAAACACTACAGCTTGAAAACTTCCACACCTAGAACCAACCCTTTGCCTCCAAGCAGAGAAAGCGCGTTGTTGGCTGCAAGATTAAAAATACACAGCAAACCCAAACAATTAAACCCGAATCCCTAAACCCAACGCCTCAAAGTAAAAAATCAACACCCTAAACCCCTAAACTCTAAAAATCCAACACAATATCCCTAATTGAAATCCTAACCCGGAGCGCTAAACCCATCACCCTACACACCCCCAACAAGAACCTTAAGGAATTTCTGAATCTGCCTTCGTCCGCCATCAGTGATGGGTTCCTTGCGTCTTGGCTGTAAAAGGTGCTGTAAGGGTCACCATCGAACCTTAGGATTCTGGGGATGTCCTATTAAGGGTTGGGGATTCGCAGGCGTGTCAACATTATTCCAAACCTTGCAACCTCAAATGCCAACATGGATCAGCCTCCCTTTCATTCAGGTTACCAGGTCTCTGGGGGCCGTCACGAATTACATAGCATATTCTGATATAGAATGTAGTATAATAGATCATGTTATAGTATGTTGTTTGTATACTTGGGTTTATCATATTTTGTACATCCGAAGCCTCCTCATGGAAACCTGATTTCTGCGACATGCCATTTAAAAAAAAACACGGCTCGGGCCTGAAGGCTGTAGGGTTCTACATGGACCCACGGATCTTACTCGGCTTCCTAAGAGACTCGCTACAAGGGTTTAGGGTTTAGGAGTTAGGGGTTCTAGAGAAGTTTCTACAGGGATTTGGGTTCTACATAGACCGTAGGATGTAGTATCTTTGCTGTTGCGTTAGTTTCCTGCTTTAGGATCCTAACCGAAGACTAGGTTAAGCAACAAAAACAGTACATTGTCGCGTTCTGCGGCTTAGGGGTTTTGGAGTTTGGGGTGACGGTTTAAGGGTCAGGTTTGGGGGTAAAGGGCTCCCAAGGATGTTGCGTGGTCTGGGCCCAAATGGGTGCTCTGTTAACCTCGACAAAGCCTTCTTGCTTAGGCCTCCAAGGTTAGAAAGGACTCTGACGATGCTTCTGATTCTGTATACCAGCCCTAAACCCTAAATCCTAAACCATGAAACCCTCGCAGTGTTTAGAAATTTGGAGGTTCCGGGCTTTAGCGATCCAATTCTGGTACGTACATCTGCCCTAAGGTTTGGGCCTCAGGTTGCAAGGATTAAAGACTGTGGTTTATATTGTAGGATTGAAAAGGACTCGTGTTATGTATGTGTTAGGGTTTGTAAGAACTTATTTCGGGTTTGAAAGGAATCTAGTACAACTGCCCCCAGTCCCTAGAAACCGAAGCAGAGGCACCGACGCTCTCAACACTCCGGCCGAGATAATCGAGTGGCTTTAGCAACTTGTAGGCTTGAGGATGCAGATACTAATTACAGTGTCTGCAAGGAGGACTTAAAGTTTAGGGCTTGGGCGTACATGTGAGGCCTGTTGAGAATGTCGAAGGAGCATTAAGTTTGACCGGACTGCCAGGGAGGAGTTCTGCAATCCAGACCCAAACCCTAAACCCTAAACACTCATTTATAGCCACAACAGGCGAACCTTCTGAACCCTCTAAACCCCAGCAACCCTCCAACCGCAGGCGAGATAAACCCTAAAAGCCCTAAAACGAAAACCTGGAACCCTTAACCCTAAAGCCCCTAAGCCTAAAACACCTAAGCCCTCAACCGTAAAATCTACAGCCTAAGCCCTGCCAAGTTGCATCCGCCCTGCAGACAGCCTCGACCTGCCCAAACTGTGGAAGTTTGGACGTTCGGAAATCTCGGGGCCTTAGGGTTTAGGGATTAGGGTTTAGGGTTTGGGGTTTAGAGTCTAGAGTTTACGGATGAGGGTTTGGGCTTAGGAAATTAGGGCCTTGCCCCTTGATGATGTTCCAACTTGTCTTGAGATACCAAGGGCATCTCAATAAGAACCACGAAGCCACAACACGACAGTTGCTCGCGGGATATATTTTACCTTAAACTACCAAAACCCACTTTTTTGTAGGTTCTCATTAGAAACCCTGATCTGGAATTTATAGGGACCCCACAAAAAAGTCGGTTTTGGTACTGGTAGGTTAAGGTAATCTATATTTCTAACGAGGGACCCCAAGGAATAGCCTTATCAACTGTTCATGCGCACTAGGAAGAGCTCGCAGCCAGAGTACTTACCGAAAGAGTTCGCGGCTGTAGGGTGGTCAAGATGTTGCACTGGAGCTTAAGCACCGATGTGGCGCTTCATGTGGAGGAGCAAAAATATCCACCTCATTGGAATCGAGATTGCTTGCTGCCCCTTTGTCGGATTC